TGCTCGCATCGCTGCAAATGGTCGGCCCAGTCGACCGTGGAATTGCCGATCTCTTCGGGCTCTTCTGGCAGCTGGCAGGCGAGTGCGGGTGCGGTGTCGAACTGCAATATGCGAACGTGCTGCATCCTGCCAGGCAGACCTATTCTGATTGGAAAATGCGGCCTTGCGTGCCATTCGAAATCTGTAGAAACTGGGGTCACCAGATTGGCCAACTCTGTTTCCACCACGAAATAATTAATGACTTGCGTCTCACCTCTGTCCGAGAGGGGAGGTTCGGCCACCAAGACTTGTGCCCCAAGAGCCTCCGAGAACCCAGACGACGCCAAGGGTTCATAAAGAATGTTGAAATCACCAACAATGATGAACTGCATGTTGGATGCCGTACAGCGTGTAGCCACTCTCTCCAAAAGTTCCAAGTTGTTAACAGACAGCCCCTCCGAGACTTTCCCATAAACTGAGACGCACAAGACTCCTGGGGTGCCTGGGAACTCTACCACACAGAAAGAGAACTCCTGCCTCGAAAGAGAACTCCTGCGGAAGGGAACGAGGGTGGCTGAAAAATTGTAGGCCCCAAGAGTAGCGCGGACAAAGATGGCTACTCCTGAAGAAACGCCTTCGCCCCCTAGGCCAGTGCGACTGGAACGAGCCGCGCCAGAGGGGCCTATGAAACCCGGAGCCCAGAACGACTTCCACCCATGGTCTAGCGCCCATGCTGAAGCAGTTCCCAGGGACCCCTCCAGGAGTTTGACTTCCTGCGCAAACAAAACTGCGACCGAGGTATACTGAAGTTCCCCCAATCTTTGCCTGATAGTACCCCACGACGACCCATTGAATGTTTCCACCAGCATAGCTTCGCCCTCACCTCCGAGATCACCTTCAAAATCGGAACGGTCGAAATCAAAATCGCTGCCAGAAAATTCGGGCCCAAAACTGTGGAAGTCGTTCTGCCTTGTAATATATGGCGCCCGCTGCGTGCATGCAGGGACTGGAAAAGTTGCGTCAGGACCGTGGCCTGACTTCAGCCGCACTGGCAGCTGCATCTGCGGGCTCAGCGGGGCGTGGCACTTCAGCAGGAGCGCCAGCACGCTGCGTCTCCCGCGGGGAGCGTGACCCGCGGCCCTCGGTGCGCTCCTTGGCATCGTCGGAGCGCGCGCCCTTGCCACGGCCTGGCCCTTGTTCTCTAGCACGAGCAGGCGGCGGCGAAAGTGGCGCAGGAACGGCAGGTCGCTTAGCCACCTGAGCAGGGACCGAAGGGCGCGTAGCTGGCGGCGCACTGGCTGCCTCGGCCGAGGCTGCGTGCACTGGTGTGCCAGGCTGCTTCGCCTTGGCCATCTGCGCCTTTGCTGCCTCCCAGTCGGCCTCTCTCTCCCTGTAGGTATCCAAGGTTCGAGCGCGGCGAGCTGCTGCTGCACGATGCTGTCCTGCTGCGCAGGCGATGCTGCATCAGCGTCCATGACATCCTCGGTGCTGTTGGCCTCGAGTGCGGTGACAAGCTGCTTGCCCATGGCCAAGAGTTGGGCCACTTCACTGTTAGCCTCTGCTTTGGCTGCCAGCGTGTCGAGGGACAGCTTGAAGGCCTGGATGTCGCCCAACTGGCCGCGGGCCGTCGAAGCCCATGTCTTCGACTGCTGCTCGCGCTCATCGTTGTACTGTTGCTGGGCCTCCTCAAATCGTTGTTGAAGGTTGGCGCCATCCTCTCGCATGGTGGTGAGGAGATGCTCCATCTGGCAAATGAACTTAGCGTTCTCGTCCAGCTGCTTGCGAATCTTCTCCAGTTTGTCGGTTGCTCGCTGGACTCTGATGGTGGCCCGTTGGACCTGATCATGATGTGGAAGATGTGCCGCAGCCTGTGCCTTGAGCTGTGCCAGCTTTTGCTTGGACTCTGCAATGTTCTGAGCATGGCCTGGGACAAGTTCATCAGTGACTGCGTCAGCCATTGCAATGTACTTCTCGAGCGAGGAGATATGTTGCTGCAACTTGTCCTCGTCGACCGTCTTGGGCGGGGTGTGCACGTCTGGCGGCTGATCTTCCGCTTGTGGCTGCTGCGGCAAACTGCCACCACTGGCGCCGTAGCGGTTCTGGCAGTACTTGAAAAGGTCAACCTTCGGCGGGGCGGGAGCTGCTGCACCTCCTGCATTGCCTGCGTCACGACCTTTGCCTCGACCTCGCTTGTGGAGCCATCCTGTAGGCGGCTGGAAATTGCTCCCGCAATACTTGCACTTGCGAAGACCACTGTCGAGATACACCCAGCTGCGAGGCCCGCAATTCTGGCAGGCGACCCAGCGCCTCGGCGTGCCGCCCGACATGACTGAGACACTGAGCGAGCGGAAAGGGTGCAAGAAAACGGGCTGGCTGAAGTGGGGCGGACCACTCCAGCCTCTGCCTGGGGCGGACCAGGCGAACACAACGAGACTGGCCGCGGACTAGCGGTATCCGTGTGGTCCCGCAGGGAACCTGTCATCTTGAGCCAAAATGGCTACGGACGGACAAGCAAGGAGGCAGGTGAAAAGGAAGAGGAGCAGAGGCTGCAAGAGCCGTCCTCCTCCTCCTTCCGTGTCTTCCTCCAGCTTCCGCCCACCCTTCCTCCTCCACCGTGTCTCCAGCGCCCGAGAAAAGGTAGAAAAAGAACAGAGAGAGAGAGAGAGTCGGGGGCGGCCAAAAGGGGGGCATCCTAGATCCTAGAGGGGGGGGGGGGAGTCGGGGCACAACTCATGGCCGGCGGCATGTGCGCGGCACAAGGGGGGGGCCAGGGACATACAGTAATGAAATAAGAAGAGGCGCCATGAAATCCGCCGACCCCTTGGGGTCACGGCGTGTGAGATGCTTCCCCCTCCCCAAACACCTCCCCCGGGAGCCCAGTCCGGCCGGTTTGGGGGGGAGGGAGGGACCAAGGTGTCGGCCGCACCCTTGGAGCCTCAAGGGGCCCCAAAACGGGCCAAGAGGGCCCCAGAAGGCCCCCCGGACGGTCCAAGAGGGCTACGAGTCGCCAAAACATCGCTCCAAGACGCCCAAGATCGCCTCCAGACGGTCCCAGAGGCCCCCAAGACGCCCCAAGAAGCCACCAAGAGGCGTCACAAGAGGCTCTCCAGAAGCAAACTCGGGAAAACGGATATGTTTAGCACATTCGCCTCTTGGGCTTTCACGAGGCCCACAACGGCCTAAGAAGCCTTTAAGATCGACCCAAGATAGCCCAAGAGGCCCCCAAGAGGGCTCCAAGACGGCCCAACAGGGCCCCAAGACGGCCCCAGGAGCTTCCAAAACGACCCAGGAGGACCCCAGGAGGGCCCCAAGAGGAGGCCCAGAGGGGGAACCCGAGTGAACATTTCGAGCACTCGCCCCGAAAAAACCTGAGGCGCCAGTAGGCCCCCAAGAGGCTCCCACGAGCCCCCCGAGAGGCCCAAAAGAGGCTCCTAGAGGCCTCGAAACGGCCCCCAAGAGGCCTCAAAAGTGCTGCCAGGAGAGCCCAGAGAAGCCCAAGAGCAGAGCGGCCATCCGCCAACCGCCCCCGACGAAATCCCAAGAAGCTGAAACCCTAAGATTCCCCAGAAATCGTTCCGCAAACTCCGTTTTTCACTCTTACTGCCGCCCCAAGAGGTCGGCGGTGCGGCGTCAGCCAAAGAATCGGGGGAAATATGATAGACCACGCCATAATATCCACCCCCCCTAGTCATCACCCCCCTCTTGGCCGCCCCCGAGAGAGACACGGAGAAAAGAGGGGGCGCCAACCAGCCGGGTTCTCATGGCGTCAAATGCCCTGCGAGCAGCCCAGCCGCGCCAGCAGGCCTGGCGGCGGGGCGGGAGGCACGGGGTGCTGCTGCTGTTGCTGCTGCTCATCCTTCCTCATCCTACTAATGCGTTGTCCTCCTCCTCCTCCTCCTCCTCCTCCTCCTCCTCCTCCTCCTCCTCCACCTGCTTCTCCTCGTCCTCCTCCTCCTCCTCCTCATCCCTCCTCCTCCTCCTCCTTCTCTCATCATCCAACTCCCTCCTTCTTCCTCCTCCTCCGTTCAATGGTTGTCCCGTGGCTGCCCCGCGGATGCCCCGTCTGTAGATAGGGGGATCCGGTTTAGACGGGGGGGGTCCGGGTAAGTAATACAAATGTAAGAATAGGAACATGGAGGGAGAGAGAGAGAGAGAGAGTGAGAGGCAGATGTTCCTCCTGATCGGATCCAGTCCTCGCGATCGGTTCTGACCGTTCCGATGTAATGCGAACCCAGTGGGTCAGGTAGACAGATCGCGAATCCGATCCGACCCCATTCGCGAACCGACAGCTGCACGTATCACCCTCCCTTCAACTTCCTTATCACCGGAAGAGTGGTGCATTAGGCTATGAGGTATGTACTGATCTCGTCGCCCGAACGAAGCTAACAAGTGGGGTACGCATGAAACGAGGAAGGCAAAGGATTTGTGCGGCGCACTCGGCGGGACCAGCCCACATAGCAAAGATGGCGCGGGGCTGGATCAGGTTCGGGACAAGTAAGTTCGATGGTTGCTGGTGACCTCTGCGAGGCCCACAAGTGTGTCAAAGTGTAGGCTTTCAAAGGCAGGACCAACTCAAAGACTCACGAGTACCAGCAGGCGGCGAAAACAGTTGAAAGACCCACATCACAGTCGGAAGCTTGACAGAGAAGTACAAATACAATGCAGGGGCAGGGTGCCGTCGCCGAAGAGAACCCAGAGAAGGTCGCGTCGCAAACAAGCTCACTCTGAAAACGCAACAACCGTTCCAGCGCAATCAGCTTCAAGCCAGCTCTCAACGAAAGTGGCGCTCCCGATGTAGTTTGCCTCCGGACTCATATGAGGGGCAACGATAGGGGGGAGCTTAGGGGAGGAAACATCGAGCGGCAATCGGCGATACATCGCCGATAGGTCGGCGATGTGCCCCCGATAGCGAATCCGAACGTTCCTGTGCGGGGTGGGCTACTGGGACCCTGCCGGCGATGAAGGGGCGATTGGGGGTCGATGCATTCCCCTGAGCATATCCTTCTTACCGCTGCCCCGGATCACACCTTCTCTTGCCCGAGCAAGAGCACAAAGACGAAGGTCCAGATCGCCGACAGCACCCAGCAGACGATACGCACCGGCGCCCTTACCTCGCGGTAGTAGAGCAGGCCCCAGGCGCCAGACGTGATGGTCGGCACTCCAAAAGTGGGGCCCTGAGGGGTGGGGCCCTCAGGACGAAAACCTCAAACAGCGAAGGTTTAGAACCTTCACTGTTCGAGAGGTTCGAGTCCTGCGGTTCTCACAAAAGAATGGGAAGTGGATCACAAGCCAAGACCCCGGGCCCCAGGATCTGCTGCTGATCCACCTCCGATCCTTACGGCCCCATCCCTCGGAACCCCATCTTGGAACCGCCGAGCTAAGCTGCATGGCCTGGTTTGCTGGCCCGAATACAGAGGAACCGCCACGGTTCACCGCGGCGGACTGGAAGACGTTGCCCGCGACCCAGCAGCAGCCGGCGATGGAGCCCAATACCCTCAGGACGCCGAAGTGGCTCTCCGGCAGCGGCCTGCCCGCCACCCTCTGGGCGCCGGCGAAGAGGCCCAGGTAGAGTGCCGTCACGGAGCCAGCGCCGATGCCAAAAGTGACCATGCTCGGGGAGACGTAAGACCCGGGTACGGGGGACTCGGAAATCCCCGACGAGGTCGTCAAAAAAATGACGAGGCCGAGCCTGCATTTTGACGAGGCCTCCTGCTGCAGACATCCCACGAAACCCCCCCTCGTCAAAATCCGAGGCGCGGTCGTCAAAAAACGATGGCGAACCCGAGTCCTGGCGAACCCGGGTCTTACGCTCCCCCGACATGTAGGAGCCGAAGGCATCGAACTCGTCCTTGAACCAGTCTGGGCACCTGCTGTAGTCGCTCTGGCACTCCGGGTCGCCGGACCTCTCGCTCTCCAGCCTCTTGCCGATGGTCGGCGGTGCGCCAAGGGGGAAGGCAGAGGGCGCATGCCTTCTCAGAAGGCTCAGACGAGGAGGAGGAGGAGGAGGAGGAGGAGGATGCATATATTTCCTGAGGCCAGAACGGATGATTCTCGCAGGGCAGCATGCAACTCGAATGCGACCGAACGCGAGCCAGCATCTTCGAGCTAGCTCAAATCTTACCGCAGCTTACGCACTAGATATACATCTAGACTGAATAGGCACGCAGTGGGATGGCTTAGGGCCTGAGAAAAACCGCTTGGGCCGAAGTGATGCGGCCAGGCGGGAACCATTAGCATTGCACGCTCTGTGACACTCCGCGGGCTCTGTTTCACAACGCTGCTACATGCATATATTTCCTGAGGCCAGAACGGATGATTCTCGCAGGGCAGCATGCAACTCGAATGCGACCGAACGCGAGCCAGCATCTTCGAGCTAGCTCAAATCTTGCCAACAACCGCCACTATACGCGATCTGGCGGTTGAGGCGGCACCTTCTCCAAAAGCGACTCGTGAATCAGTTGCGACCAGCGCTGCAGCAAACGGGGCGGGTAGGGCTCGGCGACTTGTGTCCACAGGCGGCCTCCGGGAGCCTTACCCTCGAGGACTTGATGTGGTCTCTTGGAAAAAACACAGACGGCACTGGCACACTGAGCGGCGAGCGGCGACAACAAATCTCTTTTGTCGTCCCAGCACGCTAGGGTGATCTCCTTCCGCCACGGCATTCCATATCTACAATAGACTGTGTGCGTGAGGGACGCATGGCGCAACAGACATGCCAGTCCGGGCTGCCTCCACAGCCAGGACCTACGCGGATTTTCCAAGGACACTGGCACTTGATGGCGGACGCAGGCTCTGATGATACGAATTGTGGTTCGCAGCAGCTGATTGCCTATCCGAACCTTTTCGGCGTCAACTCCTGAAAGGCTCGGGAGACCGCAGGGAAACTGGCAGGAGCGCAGCGGGCCACCTGGAGAGCCCGGCTTGCCTCGGCGCGCTCCTGAAAAGCTTGCGCACGGCGTGCCAAGGTGGACCCATTTGGCCTGCGGCACAAGCTTTAGCACCGCACGAATGGATTTGTCCTTGCTCAAGTCTTGTGAGGTACTATCTCTGATGTCCCAAGTGCGGGCCCTCCAGCCCCGCTGCTGCAGCGAAGCCGAGAGCCCTCCTCTTCCTGAAAAAAGCTCTAAAACTAGCGGCCTGGCACGTGCACTAGGCTCATACGAAGTCACCCGAGGCCCACGTCTTGGAGCAGCCGCGCGAAGCCGTTGATGCGCCCGTCCTTCAGGGCGCCCTCGAGCAGCCGGTCGGCCTCGGCCAGCAGCAGCTGCCGGCCGCGGTCGAGCGAGGCCAGGCGGCGCATCACCCTGGAGCCCTTCTCGTAGCGCCTGACGCTGAGGTCGGACGCCCAGCGGCCCCGGCGCTTGATGGCCTCCAAGCTCCTTGCCTTGGTGAGCCAATCGTGAGACGGCCCGGAGTGGCGAAGGATGTACGGCGTCAACTCCCAGCTCTCGAGCCCGACGAGCGCGGCTGCCTCCTCGAACATGGCATTGAAGGCCGCGCCCGACCACGGAAAGAGGAGCTCCATCGGCTGCGACTGGAATGCGACCTGCTCCAGCAGGGGCCCGAGAAAAGACCTCGCGGGGCTGTCGAGCAGGATCGAGTCGTTGAAGCCCCTGGTCTTGGTTGACTGCAGCTCCTCCTCGGGCCTCAGCACCAGGGACGTGAAGCGGTAGTCCCCCCCGGCATGCGGCTGCGCCGGCACCACGTGGTCCGCCCGGAGGGTCAGCAGCTCCCCTGGGCGCAGGTAGGCGTCCGCCGCGAGCACCACGCCGAGGGCCGCGCGTCGCTGGCCGAGGTAGATCAGGGCCACCGCGATGGCCGCCACCGCCGCCCAAGGCGCGGGCGCCCGCGTCAGCGGCGGCACCAGCCTCCGCCAGCCCTGCAGCGCCCTCGCCACGCGGGGCAGCTTCAGCAGCCTGCCCGCGTGGTGCAGCCTTGGGTCGCGATGCCCTATCGCGGCCAGCAGCTTGGCCCCGCTGTTCGACGGCCCCCCCTGGCTGAACTGCAGCTCCATGTACTCTACCACGGCCTCCTCCAGCTCGACGTCGCTCCCCGTGGTGAGTCCGTGGGTCCTGCAGAGGACGTCGAACCGCTCCAGCCTCCTCGCGTAGTCCTGCCTCGTCTTCTGGGTGATGCTCTCCTGCTCCAGCGTCGTGAGTCCACCAGTCCCGACCGACCGCGCCCTCGCCGCCTCGATCGCTCGCGCGAACGCTGGTGGGGGAGGGCGGTCGCGGCGGGGCACGCGGGATCGGCGAGACCTCGTCGATGAAAGCAGCCGCCGCTCGGTCGAGGATGCCGGGCCCGCTGCCGCTCAGACCACAGGGGCTGGGGCAGGCAGACGGCGGGGCGGAAGCCTGTGGCTCTCTGACAAGGCGCCGCTCCTCCGCAGCACCCTCTCGCGCGGGGGGCTGCCAAGCCCGCGCGCACCATCCCTCTCGGGAAGCGCTCGAGCATGCCTCGGCGGCCTCTCCAGCGGGCCGGCGTCGCCAGGCGTCCAGCGCAGCAGCAGCCGCCTTCTCAGCCGGCGAGTCGAACCATCGGCTAGGCTCATCAGCTGAGTTGAGCTCGCTGGCCACACAGCGCACGCTGGTGCGAGAGAAGGAGGCCAGCGACAAGGCGGCCCACTTTCTGAGCAGAACCAGCACCGGAAATGACACCGCTCGGCCCTTCTCGAGGCTCAGGACCATACCCATGTTGTCGCACAGAAACAAATGGCGATGACGATGGTATCTAGCTTGACGACACTTACGCCTCCACCCGAACAGCACGGCCCTGAGCTCTTTAAGATGGATGGCCTCTCTCCTATGATATCTTCTTGCCTGGATGGTCCTCCACGAGCCCTCGCTGATGAACCCCTTGGGGATCTCCGGGAACTCCCGATTGATGCTGATGTCCACGTCCCCGTCGATGAGGTCTCCTAGGAAACCTGCTGGATAACCTGACTCCTCGCCCAAGCAGCCCTCAGCAGCGGCCCCAGCGGCCCCAGGAGCCTCAGCCAGAGGTAGATCCCGAAGCACTTGACGACGAGGGGCACCACTGAGGCCTTCAGGAACCCGTAGAGGCAGAGCTGGGTGCACATGATGTAAACCTTGGGGGCCCATGGGGTCAGCACCTGGGAGCCCCGGCGGAGGAGGAGGTAGAGGTCGCTCGCGTTGACTCTCACCCGAGCGCTCGAGCAGAGCTGCCTCGCGCGGGCATGGCTGACTGGATGCGAAAGCGCCAGCGCTCACTCCAGCGCCCGACCTCCCGCACGGCCGGCGGCTCCATGTCGGCTTCCTGCACCGCATAGCCGCGCAGCGTGGCATCGGAGCAGGCGACGCGCCCGGACCACGGCAGATCGAACTGGACGGCCAGCAGCGGCATGAGGTGCAGCGCGTTGGCCAGCTCCTGCCGCACCGAGGGCCAGAGCGGCACGGGCACCCTGTAGTGCTTCCGGGCAAAGTCGTAGGCCGACCGGAAGACGCACAAAGCGGGGCGATTCAGCAGCATGGCATGCGTGAAGTGGCCGATCATCTGCTCGACCTCCCGGCCAGCCACGCGCCGGCGCCGCAGGAGCGCCTGGGTGCCCAGCCCGAGCCTCCAGCGCTTGGCCCGCGCCAGCCGGGCCCGCAGCTTGAGGCCGTCCAGCTCCAGGCCCAGCGCCTCCACGACCGTCTTGCTCTCCTCGACCTCGTGCAGTGGCAGCCCGGCCTCGGTCATCACCTTGGCTGCCTGCCTCCTCGCTCCCCGGGCGGCGCCCGGTCGCGACGAGACGAAGATCTCGTTGTCCACGTAGACGACCCTCGGCACCTGAGGAGAGTCCACGCTCGGAGCGATCTGCCTGTCCACCAGCTCGCTCTCGATGCCGCCGAGGCCTCCCCGCCGCAGCAGCTCGCGGTGCGCCTGCTGCGTCCAGCGCATGGCCCACGCGAAGCCCATGGGCAGCACCCGCAGGCATGGGTAGACCCACGCCCCCCCTGAGACCGCGAGGCCGTCGACCACCTTCACGCCCAGCTGCCTCGCTCTGAGCGGGCGCATGCCGAACCACGGCACCATGTAGTCCGGCACGCGGAACTGGTAGAAGCAGTCCGCGATGTCCTGGATCGAGAACTCCAGCTGGGCGCCGTCCTCGACCTCCATGTTCACTAGCGCCGCGGTGGACGCCATGTGAATCGTCGGCGGCCGCTTCAGCGCCTGGTTGACAGCCCGAGCGTCCACAATGAGCCTCAGGCGGCCCGACTTCTTCTTCGCGAAGAAGACTCCCACTTCAAAATCGCGACGAGTCCGCAGCTCCACCATGTCGCGGGCCAGCAGGTCCTGCACGAACCGCTGGTACTCGTCTGCGTCGGATTGCAAGGTCTTATCCCAGTACACCTTGGTGGCGCCTGGGCGAACCTCTTCAGCGCGAAGCATCATCGAATTCTTACCGTCGATCACCTCCTGGCGGTCTGGCTCCGGCAGCACCTCCAGCAAGCCGACGCAGCCCGCCGACTCAGGCCACGAAACCAGGCCGCGATCACACGGCGCAACCACAGTGGGGCCGTCGGGGCCATAGCCCAGACTACCCATGCCGAGCAACTCCACGAGGGCTGCCTCGGGGCTGGGGGCGTCGTCCGGCGGCTTGTCGCCCGACACGGGCTGCCAGAGCATGTCCACAGCAGAAAATTGTGCCTCCGAAGGACGGGCCTTCGAGCAAAAGTCGCCCTCCCCGTACAAGTTGTTCAGGGCGGCGATGCAGTCATTCACACGGCGGCCCACAGCAGACCTGCGGCCGATCCTCTGGGCGGAGCGGCGCGGCAACGCCCGCGCGCCCCGAGCCGGCGGCACGGGCACCAAGGGCAAGGGCAGCAGATCCCTCGGCACCATGCGCTCCAGCGGCCTGGTGGCACCGGCTGGGCACGGCCAACTCCCAGCCTCGAAGCCCATCATGACTTCTTCGGAGGAGCGCGCGCCAGAGCACGCTCCTCCGCAGCCTTGCGCTCCTCCTTCAAGATGGCCGAATCCCGGGCCGCGGACTCCGCGACCCACTTCAGCAGCTCCGGGCTGATGATAGCCCCGCCCGTCCTCCTGGTGCGTCCCAGGTAGTAGTCCTGGGAATCGAAATCCTTGATCGTCTCCTTCTTCTTCTTGACCTTGTGCTCCAGGAACTGCAGGTGCCTCGCGAGCGCCTCCATGCTCGCCAGGTTGGCCACGTCGACCTGGTCGTAGGTGCAAGCCAACTCCAAAATCTCCGACAACATCTCGTGGGCCACCACGCTATGCTCGTCATCGTTGAGCTTGTTCTCGTGCTTCCACGTGGTGTGACGCTGGACCGGGCCCCCGCTTTGCTTGGCAATCTCCTTCACCACGTACAAGGCAGTGCGGGGCCCCGACAGCGCCCAGTCCTCGAACTCGCACCGCTCCGACGAGTCCGCCACACTCTTCAGATCCCGAAAGCGGCGGCCGGCCGCGTCCCGCTTGATAGCCAGCGCGCGGGCGTCCTCGGCGGGTGGCGGCGTCCGCGCCCCCCCGACAGCGTCCGGCACCGCGGTCGCCACGAAGGTCCGCAAGGCCTCGTCCGCGGTCTCGCCCGGCGCCAGCCTGACCAGGACCGCCGACTTGCCGCGACGGCCCAGGTCGTAGAGCCCGTGCTGCCCGAACGCCACGAAGTCCTCCGACGGCGTGTCGAGCGAGTCCGGGAGCGAGTACACCGCGCCCCGCTTGACGTCGCCCTCGGGGACCACGCAGACCCAGTCGGCCCGCTCGCCAGTCGAGCCGGAGCCCGCGGCGCCCGCCCCCGAGGGCGCGCCCCCGTCAGCCAAGGGCGGAGGCTCAGGCTCCTCGGCGAGCCCCCGCGCCGCGCGCAGCTCCACGGCCTGCTCCTCCGCCGCGTCGATCCACGACTGCAGCGCAGCGCCGCGCGGCCGCTCCGTGAAGCGGTAGACCGGCTGGCCCTTTGCTGCTCCAAGGCCGGCCGGCAAGCCGCCCCGCGGGCCCGCCTGCCGGAAGTCGGCCACGCTGCGCGTGTCGATCTCCTCCTCGTACATGTCCTCGTCGGGGGTCAGCACCAGATACCTCGCCTCGCCCAAAGACGCGAGGATCAGCCTCTCATGCCACGGTTCCTCTGCCTCCCCGTAGTCGAGGAACACTACGTCCCCTGCCTTCAGGTTGAGCGCCCGGCGCACCAGCGACTTGGCCGGCATGCTGAAGCGCTAGCTGCACCTGCACGGGCGCGTCCACGACGGGCGCCAGCTGCTCCGGCCGCTCGGCTCGCGGAGGCGCCGGCGCGGCCTTCCAAAGACCCCACAGGCCAATCCGCACCGACACCAGGCACGTGCAGACGGTCACCTGCACCAGCAGCACCGCGAGGACGCCGAGCAGGACACCCAGGCCCCCGGCGACGACCGCCGCGCCCAGCGGCACCGGCGCCCCCCAGACGCGGGTCTCGGAGAGGCAGGCGTTGGCGCTGGTCGACAGCGCCAGGGCACAAGGAGAAACCTGCAATCCGCTGCTGGCAGCCTCGAAGGTGGAGGCTTTGGAGAAGGTGGCCCAGCCGAAATCTCCCATTCGCCGCCCTGAGAAAAACCGCTTGGGCCGAAGTGATGCGGCCAGGCGGGAACCATTAGCATTGCACGCTCTGTGACACTCCGCGGGCTCTGTTTCACAACGCTGCTACAGGAGGGGGGGGAGGAGAAGACGGGGGAGGAGGAGGAGGAGGAGGAGGAGGAGGAGGAGGAAGCATCGACGCGAGCCCTGCCCGGGCCCGCGCCTCCCGCAGGGCCCTGGCCTCTGACATTCTGAGGAACTCCCACCAGCCTTTCAGGGCGTGAGTGGTTTCGCCGATTTCCTCTGCCAACCCCCTTCTCCCGATTTGGGGAGGGGGGGCACCTCTCCCAAAACCCCCTACCCCTCGAACTGAACGGGGTGGTCCGCGAGGCGTTGGAGCGTCCAAAACGGCCACGGCGAGAAGGCCAAAGCCATTCATATTACTTAGGTTGTGGCCTCATCTTGGCCTCCTGGGGGGGCGACGCAAAAATGGGACCACTTACTTCTTTGATCGATCCTCCAAGATGGCCCCAAGATGGCCCGAAAGGCTCCCAAGAGTGCCCCAAGAGGGGCCCAGGAGGCCCCAAGAGGCCCGCACGAAGTCCCAAAGAGACTCCCAAGAGACCCCAAGAGGCCCCGAAATGCTCCCCCGAGGCACCCAAGACGCTCCAAGAGGCCCCCTGGACCGCCAAAGGGCACCCTAGACGCCCCAAGAGGACTCCAATACGCTCTCGAGACATCCGAGGCGACTCCGCGAGATATCAAAAGGTCTCTGGCCTTGTTGCTCGCTCTCCTCATCCTTTTTCCTCCTCCTCCTTCTCCTCCTCCTCCTCCTCCTCCTCCTTTTCCTCCTCCTCCTCCTCCTCCTCCCCCTCCTCCTCCTCCTCCTCCTCCTCCTCCTCCTCCTCCGCCTCCGCCTCCTTCCATGAACTCCCCTTATCAATAAGTCCTCCGCGTCGCACCCCGAGGCCAGACGGAAGGGCGGGCCGGGCGTTTCGCTTGAGACTCCTTATAATCTATGACCCTAAAGCGAAACAAGAATCAACAGCTTCATCAATGGAGGGCAGGTCGCTTCCAAAATATGGCTCGAGCCGCGCAAATATGCTTGAGACAACTGCAGAGTTTCACGGGTTGAGGGCGGCTCTTTTTCAACATGTGGCTCTCGCCTTGGCGCCGGGCACTTTCGTCGTACACATTTACAAAAGCTTCACGGGCTGAGGGCGGGCGGTCTTCAAAATGTGGCTCTCGCCTTAACGCCGCGCACTTTCGTTTTACAAATGTAAGAGCTTCGCGGATTGAGGGGGCTCCTGTTCAAAATGCAGCTCTCACCTGGGCGTGGCGAACATTCGTTTCAATAATTTGCCCAAAAAAAATCGGGATTCCAATCGATAGCGTACAACAATCGGCGTTTTGGCACGGTTCAAAATTTTCAGGGCGCAACAGTTACTTTGATTCGCGGTATTGAAGTCTCACGATTCCGGACTCGCACGACTCCGGATCGCCAAGACGCAGCAGTCAGTTTGATTCGTGGAATTGAAGTTTCGTGACTGGTGTTTTCGCAAGCTTCAGGATCTCCAAAAGGTTGTCTCCCAACGAAGCACTTCCCTCCGTGGAAATGAATCCCTACAGGGGCCTATGAAGAGGAGCTTGGAGGGAGGGGTTATTCCAACATCGCTGATGATTTTTCGGTTTGCACTGGTCCTCGTCCTCCTCCTCCTCCTCCTCCTCCTTTTCCTCCTCCTCTTCCTCCTCTTCCTCCTCCTCCTCCTCCTCCTCCTCCCTCCTCCTCCCTCCCCCTCACCCTCCCCCTCCCCCTCCCCATCCACCTCCCCCTCCCACTCCCCCCCCTCCTTCTTTCCTCCTCCGATTAATCCTCCATCCTCCCCCTCATGGAATACGACGGCTTCCCAGCCTTTCATTTCACTGACTGTTTCTTCGCATCTCTGATCAGGGCAACTCGCCTGGGAATCGTTTCTGAATGGGTTGGTGGGGTTACTTTTTCCGTCGCAGCCACAGGCGAAGACGCCCGCAGCGTCAGCTGAGTTGGCTCGGGCAACGAGTAACCTAATTGCCGGCGCGCGCGCGCCGAGCAGGGCAAGACCTACCGCCGGGGGAAGCGGCCGCGCTGGACCAGAGTTACTGGTGGGTTTAGTTTTTTGATCGCGACCGCAGGCGGGCACCCGCGCGGCGTCAAAGGGTCGAACAGCACAGGGCCAGGGCGTACAGCGCGACGGTCGCCAGCGAACCGAATTTCTACGCTGAGTATCCAAAAGCACACAGGGTTTCTCACAAGGCCGGAGCGTTTCTGAGAAGCCCCGCCGCCTTCTGACAAGGCCTGCCCCCTCTCACCTCCCCCCCTGGGCGCGCCGCCGAGATGGTGATCACGGCAAACTGCAGGGCCGAGAAGACGCCCGCCAGAAAGGCGAGCAGAATGCCCACCCCCATCTGCCAGGCGCGGGGCGCGCCGCCGACGACGCCCTCGTCGGGCTGGTCGCGCAGTGGGGCAGCATCGCCCTCGTCGTCGTCGGCCGCTGGCCGAGCACCAGGGCTCCCTGCGGCGGGCGTCCTCTTCGCCGGCCCAGCCCGCCCGCACCTCAGGGTCGGGGCCAGCACCAGGCCGGCCATGCCGAGCACCACCGCGAGGAGGTAGTACGGCGCCAGGACGTAGCCCGAGGTGCCGTGCCTCTTCATAGGGGAACGAATAATGACATGAGCACAGAAACTCGAAGGTCCGCGAGGAATTTCCTCGGATCCGCGCTGGACCCCCCTGGCAGCGCCTCTGGCGCCGCCCCTGGCGCGCTCCGCGCGCCAGGGAGGGGGGGTCCAGCGCGGATCCGAGAAAATTCCGCGCGGACCTTCGAGTTTCTGTGTTTATGTCACTCTTCGTTCCCCTACTTCATGCGCTCCCCGACGAGCTGGCCAGTGAGGACCGGGTGTCAGCAGAAGTGGGCCTGGCCCAGCATGCTCCCAGCGTGTCGGGCCACTGTGGGGCCTCTGGGGCCATCTGTGCCTCGGGAGGGATGATCTGGAAGTCATCTGCGCCTCCCCGGGAAAGCTGGGGTCACCTTGGGCCAGTGCCACTGCTGGCAGCACCCGAGAGGAACTGAAGGCAGGCGCTGGCGCCGGTGTTTATCACGACGGTCATGCCCACGCCCAGGCGCGGCACGGCGGCGATGGTGGCCAGGCCACTGGGGATCCAGGCCGCCGCGCCAAGGATGCCCCAGTAGGTGAACCGGTATGCTGGTCTCTCGCGGAGCAGGTTCACGAGGATGAACACCAAGCCGAGGGCGAAGACCCAGAAGGACTTGTAGCACTGAAAGATCAGCGGATGCACGCCCGCCTGCAGAACCGAAGGCGCCTTGATGGGCACGGGGTACGACCCCATCGATACACTGCCGATAAGCGCGAACAAGAACGGCAGCCCGTCGAAAGACGCAGCCATGCCAGCGCCCAGGAGGCGCAGTGTGGCGAAAGCCTCACGCGAACGTCGCTACGACGAGGACCAAGCCACGCTGCCCCTGGCCAACGCCGCTCGCGAACGTGGCTGCGAACGCGCGCTCGCGAACGCAGCTGCGAACGCGGCTGCCTCGAGCCAAACTGGCTTGACCCAGACGGGCTGCCCGGCAGCCAGCGGGGGAGGGCGCCTCCACCCGTCCGGCACGCCGTGCGCTCCCCTTGCACCGGCGTGGCCCCCCCGCAGTCCTCGACATCGCCCCAGCGACCGCTTTTTTTGCTCGGCGACGGTCGAGTCCTCATTGCCCCCTGGCCCCGAGGGGAAGGAACACGAGGAGGCCAGGAGGCCAAACCCTCTTGCCGATGGTCGGCGGTGCGCCCAAAGGGAAGGCAGAGGTGGCATGCCTTCTCAAAAGCTCAGGGAGGGCCGCCGGCCTTCTGAGACGTGTTGTGCGTCTTCTCCGAAGCCACGGAGGGACGTGGCCCCCCGCAGCTCTCGACAACGCCTCGGCGACCGCTCTCTGCTCCGCGGGTCGAGTCCTCGTTGCCCCCTGGCCCAGTGGGGAAGGAACAGGAGGAGGCCGCGCAACAACGAGCAGAGGGGTGTCCTGCCCCGTGTGGGCCCGGCCGCCCTTCGAGGGGATCCTGTCCGCACAGACGGCGGCCTACTCCCAGAGAGTCTCGGCGCCGAGAGGGAACGCCAGGGGGGAGGCCGGCTCAGGGGCGGAGACATCGAGCCGGAATCAGCCATGCATCGCCGGTAGAGCGGCGATAGACCCCCAATGTCGAATCCGCACGTTCCTGGGCGGGTTGGGCTACCGGCGATGAAGGGGCGATTGGGGGTCGAAGCATCCCCCTGAGCCATCCCCCCCCGAACGTTACCCCTGATCACACCTTCTCTTGCCCGAGCAAGATCACAAAGACGAAGGTCCAGACCGCCGACAGCACCCAGCAGACGATGCGCACCGGCGCCCTTACCTCGCGGTAGTAGAGCAGGCCCCACGCGCCAGACGTGATGGTCGGCACTCCAAAAGTGGGGCCCTGAGGGGTGGGGCCCTCAGGACGAGAACCTCAAACTGGAGGTTTCGAACCTTCACTGTTCGAGAGGTTCAAGTCTAGGAACTGGATCACAAGCTGAACCCTAGGTCCAGCTTGTTATCCACTTCCTATCCTTATGGCCCCATCCCTCAGGGCTCCATCTTGGAACAGCCGAGATGAGCTGCATAGCCTGATTCGCAGGCCCGAACACCGAAGAGCCGCCGCGGTTCACCGCGGCGGACTGGAAGACGTTGCCCGCGACCCAGCAGCAGCCGGCGATGGAACCCGGAACCTTCATGACGCCGAAGTGGCTCTGTGGCAGCGGCCCGCCCGCCACCCTCTGGGCGCTGGCGAAGAGGCCCAGGTAGAGTGCTGTCACGGAGCCGGCGCCGAGGCCAAAGGTGACCATGTAGGAGCCGAAGGCATCGAACTCGTCCTTGAACCAGTCTGGGCACCTGCTGTAGTCGCTCTGGCACTGCAGATCGCCAGACCTCTCGCGCTCCACCCTCTTGCCGATGGTCGGCGGTGCGCCCAAAGGGAAGGCAGAGGTGGCATGCCTTCTCAACACCTCAGGGAGGGCCCCGGGCCTTCTGAGAAGTTCTGTGCGCCTTCTCCGAAGCCACAGGGGGCCCCTCAAAGGCTGGAGGACTTCTGAGAAGCCCCAGAGCCTTCTGACGAGGCCTGCCTTTTCTCTAGAGGCCTCCCTCCTAGAGAAAAGTCCGAGCAAATGGAGCCGGAGGATAGTGCCGCATCGCCGATGCATCGGCGATGCAGTTCGATGTGGAGCCCGATGTTCTCAACGCCGACGTCGCGGATGCATCGCAAACGATGCCGATGCATGGGCGATCCTCTGACCGCATCTGCTCGGACCCCATCTGGGAGGCCCAGACTCTCACCTTCCCCCCTGGGCGCGCCGCCGAGACGGTGATCACGGCAAACTGCACAGCCGAGAAGACGCCCGCCAAGAGGGCGAGCAGGATGCTCGCCCCCATCTGCCGGGCGCGGGGCGCGCCGCCGGCGGCGCCCTCCCCAGGCTGGCCGCGCAGCGGGGCAGCGTCGGTCTCGTCGTCGGCCACCGACAGAGAGCCGAGACGCCTGGCCGGAACTACGGAAGGCGCCCTCTTCGCCTGCCCTCTGAGCTGGCCTGGCCTGGCAGGGCTCCCTGCGGCGGGTGTCCACTTCGCCGGCCCGGCCCGCCCGCACCTCAGGGTTGGGGCCAGCACCAGGCCGGCCATGCCGAGCACCACCGCGAGGAGGTAGTACGGCGCCAGGGCGTAGCCAGAGGCGCCGTGCTTCTTCATGCGCTCCCCGACGAGCTGCCCAGTGAGGACCGGGTGCTGCTAGAACTGGTCCTGGCCCAAGGCATGGTAGCCACTGAACCGACCTGGTAGCAATGAGCCAGTGGCTGTTGCAACCGAACCGACCGAACCAAAACCCCGACCGAACAGGTCGGAGCCAGACCCGCCAATTCGGACCCAACCAGTAGGCCAAACCGGCCCAAACGGCCAAACCGAATCGGTTGGAACCGAACCCGCCCAGAGGGGCGCCCTCCAGGCCCCCCCAGAACCCCCCAGCTCGCCATCGCTCGGGCGTCCATTCCCCGTGCATTGTTCGATGTCGCGCGTGTATGTTTCGCAAGATGATCCAGGATGTTCCTCGATGGTCCTCGCCGACAAAAATGCACGCGTCCGAGCGAAGCCAAGCCAGGGACCCCCAGGGACCCCCAGGGCCCGGCTGGCCCCCGAGGGCGCTCTGGAGCTCCCCTGGGTCCTCCCCAGGGTCTCCTGGGGCCCCCTGGGGGCTCTCTGGGCTCCCTGGGGCCCCCAGGGCCTCCTATGCAGCGCTTCTGAGGCTCCCTGGGGTCCTCTGGGGCCACCTGGGGCACCTGGCGGGAGAGGCCTGAGAGGACCAGGGACGGCCAGGAGGACTCGCCGCGGCTCGAACTCAGGAGGGACGACGACGACGACGACGACGACGACGACGACGACGACGACGACGACGACAACGACGAGGCTGGCTCCCCCTTCGAGCTTCGAGCCGTTGGCCTTTGTCTCCAAGAATGGGCGCGGACCTTGCTGGCTCCTCCTCCTCCTCCTCCTCCTCCTCCTGCTCCTGCTCCTCCTCCTCCTCCTCCTCCTCCTCCTCCTCCTCCTCCTCCTCCTCCTCCTCCTACCCCGCCTCGTCTGGCCGAGCCGGAGCGGTGCGCGCCGCGGGCCCACATGGGGCCTGGCAGGCTCGGTGCAGGACCCAGTCGGGCCCAGGCGGGGCCCGAAGGGACCCGGAGGGGCTCGGGGGGGGCCCGAAGCGAACCGGCCCAACCGGACCGAACGCCACACCTGAGCGGGCGAAGAACGGAAGAACAAACAGACGTTTTCGCCGTCGGGGGCCGCTGTCCCCAGGGCGGCCGGCAAGCTGATACCGTGGGCACGCGGCCGCGAGAAGCCTCCGCAAGAAGCCCAGCCCTGATGATCCAACGAGTTTAGTGTCCAGGGTCTGGGTTTCTTAACCGAGGGCTCCGATCGGAGAAACCCAAGGCATCATGGCCCGAGAAGTTCTTTCCTGGGGCGTGATAAAGAACGGCGCGAGGTGCGATTTGGGGAGAAACCCAGAGTATCCTGGGTGGCAATCGCGCATCGCTGGGAACGAAGAAACCCAAGGCACCCTGGCGAAAAAAAAGTGCGCGTCCCTCTGTACCCCATGTACGGTGGCACGTCAGGGTACAAACCTGCCAGCCGCCCTGGGACAGGTGCCCACGGCGACGGCAAAGCTCATCTCGTACCGCTCGTCGCCCGCTGAACACCCAGACCCCCGACGTAATGATTTTTTCATTACGTCGACCCCCAGAGGTCCCGACCCTTTCCCCATGACCGGCTTTGCATCCTGAGTCGCTTTTTGACGCTCCCGAGGCCCGGTGAGGGCCCCCAGAGGCCGAAAACTAGGAAAAACCTCCCGTCATGATTTTTCCATTACTCGAGGGGGTCTGGGCACGGAGGCCGAACCTGCGCGAACCGGCCCGTCGCCGAAACCAAACCGAACCGGCGCCGCCGAGCCGGCCCGCCGCAGAACAGGCCGGGAAGCGACCCGGGCGGGGCCCTGCCCGCCGATAGGTGCCCCCCGCGCCTCTCGCGCCCACCGCGGCGGGGAGAGGGAGCCTCTGCAAGGGCCTCGCGGGGGAGAGCTCCCCGGGAGGCCCTCCGTGGCCTCCTCCTCCTCCTCCTCCTCCTCCTCCTCCTCCTCCTCCTCCTCCTCCTCCTCCTCCTCCTCCTCCTACCGTGGCCCCCCGCTCCAACAGCACCCGGGGAGGAACTGGAGGCAGGCGCTGGTGCCCGTGTTGAGCACGACGGTCACGCCCACGCCCAGGCGCGGCACGGCGGCGATGGTGGCCACGCCGCTGGGGACCCACACCGCGGCGCCGAGGATGCCCCAGCAGGTGAAGCGGTAGGCCGGCCTCTCGCGGAGCAGGTTCACGAGGATGAACGCCAGGCCGAGGGCGAAGACCCAGAAGGACTTGTAGCACTGGAAGACCAGGGGGTGCACGCCCGCCTGCAGAACAGAAGGCGCCTTCATAGGCACTGGGTTCGACCCCATCGATATACTGCCAATGAGCGAGAAGAAGAACGACAGCCCATCGAACGACGCAGCCATGTCTGCGTCCAGGGGGCGCAGTGTGGCGAAAGCCTTGCGAACGTGGCTGCAATCAGAGCCAAACCAAGCAGTCGCTGCAATGTCTATGGCGAACGTCGCTGCGAACGCTGCTGTCTTGAGCCAGCTGTCTTGAGCCAAACTGGCTTGAGCCAGATTGGCTTAGGAGCAGCCTGTGGAGAAGTGCCTCCCCCCCCGTCCCTTGGAGGTGGCTGGGGGTTCTGAACTGGTTGGGACCCGAGAAAATCCGTCAGCGAGGGGGATGAAGCCAAATCCGCTCAGAATCAATCCCCAGACACCTCCCGAAGTCCATCTGGCGCAATCTTCCACCCCGGATCCGTTTCTGACGGTCCCGGGGCCCGAAACGGCCCCATCCTGCCTTACATACCCAGACCTCCGACGCCGTGTTCTGCCTCCACGGCGTGCCCCCCCCCCCCCCCCACCACTCCCACAGCACTCGAACTCGTCCCGGCGACCGCTTCGTGTTCCGCAGGCCGAGTCCTCAGTGCCCCCTGGCCAGGGCCCGCGCCGATGCCAAGATGACCATGCAGGAGCCGAAGGCTCAGAAGCGCTCTGGCCTGCTAAGAAGCTTCCCGCCCATCCTGCGAAGACGCAGAAGGCTTCCCACGAGGCTGGAGGACTCCCCAGAAGCCCCGCCGCCTTCTGACAAGGCCTGCCCCAATCTCACGCCCCCCCGTTGGTGGCAGGTCATGGAAGCCTCTCATACAGTCGTGCTGGCTCTTGCCGACGGTCGGCGCTGCGCCTTGGGGGAAGGAAGGCAGAGGGGGCATGCCGGCATGCCTTCTGAAGACTGAAGAGCTCAGATGGACCCTGTCATTCTGAGAAGTGTTCGAAGCCTTCCCCGAAGGCACAGAATGGCGTGGCACCCCACAGCTCTCGACCCCGTCCCAGCGGCCGAACTCTGTTTCGCGGGCCGCGTCCTCAGTGCCCCCTGGCCTGGAGGGGAACAGGAGGAAGCTGCGCAACAGCCTGCAGTGGGGTGTCCTTCCCCGTCCGGGCCCGCCTCCTCCCCGAGAAGATCTTGCAGGTACAGACGCCTGCCTCCTCCCAGAGCCTCAGAGGGAAGAGGACGCGTCAGAGGGGAGACCGGCTCAGGAGGGACAGCATCGTGCTGGGGTCGGCGATACACCACCAGCAGATCGGCGGTAGGCCCCCGATAGCAGGACCGCAAGTTCCTGCCCGGGGTGGGCTGTCGGGCTCCTGCCGGCGAGGAACGAGCGAGGAGGGACGGGCGAGCTGCCTGGCGCGAAAGCGTACCGAGGCGCTCCAGGCGAGCGGGGGCAAGGAGGACGGGCAGCAGGCCTTCGTGGCGCTGCGGATCGAGCCGACCCGCCTCCTCCGTGGAGGCGAGGGGGAGCTGGAGGCCCTCACCGATGCCTCCCCGGAAGCTGGAAGTGGCCGGAGGGCGCGGCGCCGAAGAGGCAGAGGAGCGAGGCGTCGCCAGCGGCGGTGGCCCCTGTCGGCGATTGGGAGCCGATGAAGCCCCAGCCGATGCAACGTCGTGTTTTTGTTCAACATCGGGTCCGTTTCCCCGGGACCGGTTTTTCGTCCGGCGTCGTTTTCTTTCACGGCCCCGAGGCTCTCGCGAGGGCCCCCCGAGGCCGAACTTGGCCGAGAAGCTCCCGCCCTGAGCGTTTTACGACGCGATCGTGTCGTGACTGCCTACCAGACCACCCCAACCCAACCCGAAGACCCCAATTTCGGCTTGGGGGGGGTACGGGTTCCAGATGTGTTTTTTCAGTGTTCCCCGACCCCCCCCAACTGGAAATGGATGGCAGATGGAGCCTTCGGGCTGGGTTGGGGTGGTCTGGTGGGTGGTGAGCGTCTGGGGCCCCCCCCCCCTGAGCCTGCTCCTCCCGCCGGCGTGGCCCCCGAAGAGCCCCCACCCACCCGCCCGAGCAGAGGGAGCCCGGGCACTCGAGGCACGGCCTCGGAGGCGGGCCCCTCGGTCCGGAGCAGGGCAAGACGAGGCCAGGACGGGAGCAACATCGGGCAGGGATCTCGGGGGTGGACAGACCCCCCTGTAGTAAAACGTGGTTTCGTGGAAACGACTCGAGGGCCCAAGCCTGGCGGTCGAAAAGCCTGGAAAATAACGGCCACGGCGCCCTCTCGGAAACCGAAAACGGACAAGTCACTAATCGACGTGTCACTGTGGGGGGTTCTGTCCACCCCCGAGGATAGATCGGGGAGATCCGAGATCCGGCGGCTCTGGATGCACCAGGCGCCGAGGCCTTCTCCGAGCGCTCTGCGAGCGCTCTGCGAGCGCTCGGGAACGAGTTACCTTTAGGTCGGGCATGTCCCCCTGCAGGGGGATGTTGGGCGAAAAAATGAACAATAGCCAACAATTATGCACAAAGAGTAATGACCAAAAATAATTCAAAGAATCGTCCCCAGACTATTGTTCTACCATTTGTGAATTGTCCTCCTGTAGAATGACAGTTCAAGTTACTCCTGTCCTGGCCTCGACCGCCGACAGCAGCTCAAGATCCGTCCCTGGACCTCCCCAGGGGTCCAAACGCGGCAACTTTCCGAGCTGCGTCCAGCCGTGGCGACGAGAGCGGAGGCGGGCCTCTGTGCAACCATGCTCGGGCAGCGCCGTTCCGCCAGACACCAAACGGTGCACTGTGCCCAGATACCCATATGGGGGGCGAGCGAGGGTCCTGGTCGTCGGTCTGCTCTGCAAGCTTCCCTCCCTGGAGCGCTGTTGCTGTCTGCTGGGAATGGCCCTGGGCGGTGGAATCTAAACTGGGGCGGAGAGGGCACGGCATACAGACAGGCATCTTGAGGAGCCGCGCCGACGACGCATCCACGCGGGGAGGCTGCTGAGCGGACCGCCTCGCTCCCTGCCTCCTCCGGGCACCGTTCCTGGAGGCCGCCTCCAGATGGGGACGGAGCAGCGGGGGCCGGAGCATCGCACCGCGCCGCCGGTGCATCTTGGCGGGGGGGGGGGGGAGTGAGAAGGAGAAGGCCTTCTCGGAAGGCTCGGAAGTCCCCCCGGCCTGCGGAGAAGAGTTCTGAGCCTGGCCCAAAGACCCCAACAAAAAACACGCCTCAGAAGGCGAGAGGGCTTCAGAGAAGTGCGGCCACATTCTGAGAAGGCCCTCTCCTTCTCACTTCCCCCCCCCGCTCGCCGCCGAGCATCGGAAGAAGGAGGAGGAGGAGGAGGAGGAGGAGGAGGAGGAGAACGAGGAGGAGCAGGAGGAGGAGGACGACGAGAGCCGGGCTCCTGATCTCGGAGGGCCCGCCGAGACGACAGCGGCCCCCCCTGGCGTTGTTGCACGTCCCCTCTGGGCCTCCCGGCGTGACGGCTGGGTGCACGCCTCGAGCAACGGGTCAGAACGGACCCCAAAGGGGGGTTGAATTTGGTGATCTCCAAACCCGGTGGTGACCCCGATTCCCCCAAAAAATAATTCTGGGTCACCACCGGGTTGGGGGACACGCGGTCGCCACGAGGTTTTGCGTTTCCTTGGCCAGCCAGCGCTCGAAAACCATGACCCAAATCGCCCAAAACTCACCCCCGGGTGTTCTCACCACCACGTTTGGGGACCACCAACAAAAGGGGGGTTTAATTGAGCAGGGACCGACCGTCCCGGCATTCCTGTAGGCCTACCACGACATGTTCTTGGAGCCCAACGGTTCCAAGAACAAACCACAGGTTTCTTAGAACATAGGACCGAGGTGTTAAAGCAAGACGGTCTGGGCCAGAAATGCTCTCTGAGAACAGTCTATGGTGGGCCTATAGGCAAGTCAGGACGCCTCGCCACTGCTCGGCCCAGGGACCGATTCGGAGCGACCTTGGCCCCGGCGAGGGAGCTGTCGTTGCCTCCACTGGCCCTCCGCCGAGGCTCGCGCCCCATCGCCGACGTATGACGACGACGACGACGACGACGACGACGACGACGACGACGACGACGACGACGACGACGACGACGCGCAGCGGAGGCGCCGCAGGGGCCCGGCGCGGCCTGGGTGCAGCACGCCTCACTGGCGCGGTTCGATTGACCCTCCTCCGAGAATCGCGCCCGCGCCCCACCGCCGATGCATCGGCGGTGCGGCGCGATCCTCCGACCCCGCCTGCTCGGGCCCCGCCTGGACGGCTGGGAGCCACGCGGAGGATGGCAGGAAAGGAGAGGGCCCTGCGGGACACTTGACTGCCTACCAGACGACCCCAACCCAACCCGAAGACCCGAACTTCGGGTTGGGGGGGGGTAAAAGGGTTCCATATATATATATATATATATATATATATATATGTGTGTGTGTGTGTGTGTGTGTGTTTTTTCGAGGTTCCCCCTCCCCCCCCACTAGAAATCGAGGGTAAATCTGAGCAGTCGGGTTGGGGTGGCTTGGTGGGTGGTGAACACTGGGCCCTGGACTCCGGGGCCCTCCCCCGTGACCGGGTCTGCTCCCTGCGTCGTCCTCCTCGGACGGCCCCAGGACACCGTGGATGGCCCTGGGCAGCCCGAAAGCGGCAAAACCTCGAGACCCCTTCTCCTCGGGACCCGCGGAGAGGGCTTTGCCGCGGGGGCACCGTGCGTGTAAACCCCCCCTCCTCCTCCTCCTCCTCCTCCTCCTCCTCCTCCTCCTCCTCCTCCTCCTCCTCCTCCTCCTCCCCCCTCCTTCCTCTGGCGAGGACAGGGAGGCGGCTCGCCGACACCCCGGCGTGCCGCGCCTGGAGCTCGGCGCCGGCTCCGCGGCGGAGGCAGCGTAAGAAAGCGACGGACAACGACGACGACGACGACGACGACGACGACGACGGCGACGGCGACGGCGACGGCGACGGCGACGGCGGCGACGGCAGTGACGGCGGCGACGGCGACGATGATGACGTCGACGGCGACGGCGACGGCGACGACGACGGCGACGACGACGACGACGGCGACGGCGACGGCGACGGCGACGGCGACGGCGACGGCGACGGCGACGGCGACGGCGACGGCGACGGCGACGGTGACGACGGCGGCGGCCGCGGCGGCGGCGGA